GCGCTTTAATTAGCGCTGCCCCCTCAGAAGGCCAAAATGGGGCCACCACCGTAGTAAAATCAATGATGTTGCCTTCAAAGAAGAGGGGAGCATTTTTTCTCCTTCCCCCCGTCGGGGCCAGAATCCTCGTGAGGGGTGTCGTTGTTTAGCCCTCCCAGGAGTCGAAAACGACCCCTCTGACCACCCGCGAGGCGCCCTCTCCAGGCCCAGGGGGAGGGGGTAGGGGGAGGGGTAAACCCCTCCCCGAAGGGGAAGAAAGGGGGTTGAGAACAGAGCGGGCTCTCTAAACCACTCACGCCCAAAGGGCTGGTGGGATTATCCACTGCATGACGTTGGTCGTCTGTCTTGGAGTCGCCGATGTCTTTGTTCATGAACTGCATTATTGTCGGCGCCTGCGAATTCCGTTCCATCTGTAATGTCATTGGATTTTTGCTTGTTGGCGATGGACCATGACGTGCATGTAGGTGACCTATCTGTGATCTATTTTGATTGCATGATTGCCGAACGCGAGAAAAAAGTCCCTGATGATGCACATCTGCCATGTTCCATCCGTATCGGTAGTCAACAAGAAGTTCAACCAGCAGACCTGGAATGGAGGCTCGATGACTGAGGCGACCGTTGCCTGACATCCGCTCTTGCTTGTCGATCTGTGTGATGCCCATGTGCTTCAGCCACCTCTCGCAGTTCTCGGGCGTCACCACGGGCAGCTGAGTTTCGATGTAGAACTCCTCAGGCATGGCTCGATAAGCACCTTCCAGGTGTCTCTTAATGCCTTCGTTGAACTCGGTCGGCCAGAGGTATGATCCCTTCCACTTCGTCGCCTCGAAAGTTATGCACTTCTGGTCGGAGGTCATACATGCCATCTGCTCGCTGTGGTATGCGTTGTTCGTGTCGGCGGTGCTCGGGCTCGCGCCTGGTGTATTGAATATCGCTCTCATTCCACTCCCTGATGTCTGAACTACTGTATCGTCATTCACACCAGCCGCCAGTGCAGAGCCAGCAGGAGCCTGACACACCGTCACCTTCTTCCCGCTATGCGATCCACTGTGCGAGTCAGGCACATGGGCCGAAGCCGTCTCCATCTTTTCGCGGTGAACCACGCTGTGCGGGTCAGGTACATGGGTAGCCGGTGGCTCCTGCCGACCAGCTTCGTCGTCCCGAGACCGATTGAAGAGTGCAATTTCCGAGCTTGAGTTTGTCTGCTTCGCACATTCCCATCCAGGATCTTGTCCATATTCGACCTTACTGCATGACGAAATTGATCTCGTTCCTTTCCAGTGTTGGCGCTCGGATCGTCGATCGGCAGAATGTAGTGTCTTGATTCTGTGTATAGAGCTTGCATGAATGCTGTAGGTCGAGGTTTGTTGCCGAGACCGTCCAAGCTGTTGATGGTGAGCACCTCGTCCTTGTTAGGCAATATCCCAGTCAGGAGGCCGTTCGTGTTGTTGATCATGCTCTCCAGCGGCATCACAAGCGGGCACCTGCTGCTGGTGCCACCAAGCATGTCCATCATGAAGTTGCTGTTCGGAATCGCCTCCAAGTTCAGGGGAAGCTTGCCAGGTCCAAGAGACGGGTTCGCAACTCCATCGATACTTGATAGCTTTGCCACTGAGCTCGTAACCTTCAGACGCTGGCCCTTGGGCCAGAGCTGAGCCTCGCAGACCTCGCGCAGAGTCTCCGTTCCTTCAAGACCCTTGGCAGCGCCCGGGTCAATGATCAGTCCGAGACGCCGATCGATCACCTCGAACAGTATGAAGGCGAAGGACTTAGCGTTGTCATTGAGGCTGTCGCTGTTGTCGTCCTCGTCAAATATGTGCCTGCTAAACAGTGATGTGTGCAAGATGTCCGAGAAGGATTCCTTCGGAGGTGAGGCAGGCGTTCGCGCTGAGGCCGCGCTCGACTCTGGTGACCTGGTGCGTGTCTGCGATCGGTGTTCCTGCTCATCCTCTGCAGTGAAGGTCGAGGGTCTCGCCGGTCTCAGTGGGAAGTCGTACTTCGCCGCAGGCGGTTGTGATCCAAGTTCCGTTCTGGGCTGTGCTGCTGTCTTGGTGCCGAGGTCGATTTTGTCGCCGAATGGGTCGCTGTTCACCTTATCTTTCGGTATCTCAGGAATCGGGTCCTGCAATGATGTCTTAGGTACTGATGGTCCTTTCTGCCTTTCTTGGTTCCTTTTGTGAAATCGGTGGTACGGAAATTCATTTCCTTGATCATCTCCATCTTGATATGCTGCCAGGTCCGAGTCGGCAGCTCGCTCTCCGAAAGAGGAGTCGTGCGTTTCGTCGTCATACTCGTCAATATTGTGGACCTGTAATTTGTGCCAATCGGCCGTGTCCTCCTCTTGTGCCGGCGGCGTAGGTGTGTGCGTATACGGTGGTTGAGGCATATCCCAAGAGCCGGCACTCGATGAGGCTGATGACGGTGGGGCCTCTCTCCTCGGCAGGTTTTCGTAGGCGTTTAGGTTCAGTCTGATATCGTTCTGAGCAACCGCCGAGCTGAATCCCGCAGTGCATCCGTGGCCGCTGTGCTTCTGTCCGCTACCTTCTTGATGTTGTTGAGGCTGTCCCTTGTTGGACAGAAGATCTTCATTCTTGTACCGTTTTGAGCCACATGCACTGCATCCGTTGCCGCCACCAGATCCTCCTTGACTTCCTGCTCTTCTTGCTCGTCTTGCCGCCGCTCTTTCCGCCACAGTGCGACTGCTGCTCGTCATAGTGGTTGCTGCTCCATCGTCCTTTACCTCGTCCTTGACGCCGCTTCGACCTCGACCTTTAAAGCGTCCTCGTCCTTTACCTTTGCTTTTGCCTTTTCCTTTGCGCCGGTAGTTGCTGGTGAATCTGAATTTGGGTCGAAAGCCACTCATTTGATATGATTGCTCCAACTCTTCTTGGTCAAGCCAAGCCTCGATACCCTCTGCCTCGTGCCGGATGCCGTCGTCGTCATACGCACCATACTTTGTCTCTCCAGATTCGGTCCAGTACTCGCGATAATGCAGGTCGCTCTCCTGATCATGCATACGTCCAATCTATCAGATCATCGCCTTCCTAGTCCTGGTAGTAGTCGAACACGTGTTCTGTATCGTCGTCTTCTTCAGTGTAGCGATGGCCAGAGTTGCCTGCATCATCTCTTGCTTGGCGATCCTCGTGAGCATCGACTGGACCGTCTGAAACATTTCCAAACCTCCCTCACTATGCAACTTGATGTCCGAGATGCGCCTCGATGGTAATCCACTCCATTTGAACAACATGTGTGTGAGTCCAACATTACTGGTCATCAAGTCCGCCTTGTCATTCGCTTCGGTGTATCTTTTTTTTTTTTTTTTCTCTCTCTCTCTCTCTCTTTCTCTGGCCTGGAGTTCAGCAGGTATTCATGCAAGGTTTGATTGTCACGTCTTACGTCAGGGAGTCTGTCTAGAATGTCACCTTGTTTATCTTGATCATGTGCGTCGAATACCTCCGTCAACTTCGGCATTAAGTGTCCTGCCCCAGATATTCTGCCTCTTGAAGGATCGTTCCCTGCTCATCTCGTTCTTCATCAACTCATGGAAGGGCCAGTGCTGCTTCTCCTTTGTACTTCAGACCGTTTCGAGTGACCTCCAGACTCATCGCGATAGTAAAAGCTCGATCCCGTAATCTTGATGCCATACTCGGTCCTGCTTCTCTCTCATCTAGCGGCGTCAGGCGCTACCAAAGGTGAAGTCTCTGCATGTATGCTTTGAATGGGTACGTGTCGTCGAACGGCTTCCATCCTGGTGGCACATATCGTTTGAACTCCTGCAAGCTTTGTGGTGTTTTGTAGTCAGCCATCTTGCCAACCGTAAGGTGTACCAGGATGCGCGTGAAGACCGTGGCAACTCGGGTCCCGGCTGGCCGCCGGGCTGGGCGAAGATGCCGATCATTCCGGATCTGGTGGAAGCTGATGTTCACCTCCTTGGTGAAGTTGTTAGTCGTCGTGCCGAACGCGTGGGCGGAGCGCTGCGGTGGCCACGCGGGGCCAAGGCTCGTGCTCCTCGGGACGCGCTGGAGGGGCCTCGCGTGTGTTATTGTAGCTGTAGTTTTGATGTTGCCATCAAGTTTGATCGTTTAGTGCGCAAGTCCTTGAGCGCTGATATGGTTACGTCGGGTCTCTGTCATCACTGCTCTGCTGCCGCACTGCTTTGTGCATCTCACGACCTCTAAACTGTTACTACATTTGATCTTCGCCAAGGTCCAAACTGCATCAGAAATCTCATTGGGGGCATCTTCCAAAACGCCAGAGGAAAGGGAGGCGGTAGCTTCCGAAGGGCGGGACTAAAAGGCGAATGGGGGGGCTTCCGGCAGGGAAGGTCAAAGGGGGGTGGTAGCTAAGCCCCCCCCCCCTTCGGAAAGGGAAGGGGGGGGGGGGTAGTTTCCTGATCGCGAAAGGGATGGGGGGGGGCTAGCTTCCGAGGGGCGAGAACAAAAAAAGAGGGGGGGGGTCTCCCGGCAGGGGAGGTCCAAGGGGGCAGCTAGAGGGGTACCCCCCCTTTTGGGGGGTGCGCCACTGGCGTGCTCTCTCGGAAGTGAGCATATATCAGCCCACCATGATATTCGATTTCTCGCGTTTGTAGTCGTCATGTGGAATAATTGATTGCAGATGTCACATGGTCTGGTCATTTCAAGCGTCCTGTGGTTTGTTTGTTTTCATATTTCCAGTGACACACGTGTCTCCAGGGGTCCTGTTGTATATGTGATCCCAGACTTTCGGTCTTCAAAGTATGTCTATTGCAATCGTGCTATAGTATTCACAGGACCTCCCGTGGCTTCAGGCATCCTGACGCGATGCTCCACCGTGTCGTCGCGACAAACTGGGAATTCAGTGGGTGTCGACCTCGGTGACGGGCCCGTCGCGCCACTTGAAAAGGAGAGGCGAAGGAGGCGGAAAAGGAGAAGGGTGGGAGGGTGGGAGGAGGATGAGGGGGAAGACGAGGGGGGTAACGAGGGGGGCGTCGATAATTGCGCGGAGGCCCCGCCCCGGTGGGAGAGGCTATCTTCTTCGACCAGGCCGCCGCGTTGGAAAGGGTCGCAGGCAAAAACCGAGGCCGCCGGCCCTGCTGGCGGGGGGTAGGGGGAGGGTGCGGGGGCTCTTGGCAGAGAGGAAGAGGATGCGGAGGAGGAGGAGGAGGAAGAGGAGGAGGAGGAGGAGGAGGAGGAGGAGGAATGGGGCAGAAGAGGAGGAAGCGACGCTAGAAAAGGCAAAGTAGGAGGAGGATCAGAAATCATGCGGCGAATGATCAGGATTGCGACGTCGGGGGGGAGGAAAGCTTTGGCAAATGAGGAGGAGGGGCGATAGCTAATTAATGACACGGCGAATGAGGAGACGGGGAGGGTGAGTAATAGTTAGTGTTGCGGAGTTTTCAAATTGTAGTGCACTTGTGAGCGACTATGCTGCCAGCAGTCAGTCTGGATATAGCGTAGGAAATATGCAGAACAACCTCTTTTAATGATATTCGTGCCAGTTGCAACGTGATGATACATAACAACAAGACTATCCGTGTTTATAACAACACTTTCATGAAAGGATATAAGAGCGTCAGTGCGCAGATGATGGTAATGCGAAAATTGTCCGGATCGCAATCAGAATGTTGGTAAGGCGGCGTTCATTCGCAATCACAATTTATCAACCATGACATACAATCGTATATACAGAAATGAAAACGATTGCTACACATAATCTCAATGATAGGAGGTTTGTGGGTGAGATCGCAGTGTAACGGAGAACCCTGCCAGGTAATATGTTCGATTTCGTGTTCGTGTCGCGCGTGCGGACGAGGCGAAGTTGCGTGCGTGGGCGAGAGGGGTGACCCCGCCGTTGTTAGGGCGAAGTCGAAACACAAAGCCCTCCAGCGGCCGGTGGCCCGGTGGCCCCGTGGTTGTCCCGTGGTTATCCCGTTGTTGTCTTGTGGTGTCTTTGTGGTTTTGCGGATGATTGTCCAGATGGTTTCGATTGTCCCGTTGGTTGCCTTGATGATTGTCCCGATGGTTGTCCGGTTCTTTGCCCACTGGTTGTCCCGACGGTTTTCCCGAGGGTTGTCCCGATGGTTGTCCCGATGGTTGTCCCGCTGGTAGTCCCGCTGGTTGTCCCGACGGATTCCGGCAAACGAAGATCGCTCGGCGCCTTCGGCGCCTCGAGATGTTCGCCAAGAGGGTTGGTTGTCCTGATGCTTGCCCCAATGGATAAAAGATGATGTCGGCGGGTCGATCTTGATAATATCTACATAGTATGTATTATCTGTTTTGATAATTTATCTATGTGCGTGTTGATTCACTTGTTGACGTGTTTATTCGTTTAGTTATATGTGTATGCATGCTGTGTTCATGTATGTATGTGTTAATGTATTGTTGTTCGTGCATCGATTCATGTATTCATTTTACGTCTGTAATATGTGAGTATGTATTTGGAAGGGGCGGCCGGCCCGCGGCCCCAAAACAGGTGCCCCGACCCTCCATGGGGGATCGGGGGAGCCCCGGGCGCCCCGAGACCGCTCCCAGACTGGGTTCAAACTCGCTCCAGCTTGGGAGAACGACCCCAGAGAGTTTCCAGACGCTCAAGATGACCCCCAAACGGCCGTAGAGGCCCTCATGATCGCCCAGAGGTTCCCAAAGAGAGCCCCCAGAGGCCCAAATCGACCAATTCCTTTTCTGAAAATTATCCTGGCGAAAGACCCAACCATAAGCAATTGTTGGTAACGCGTTGTGGGTGCCGCTTTCGGTGGGGCTCCATATGGGGCCACGAAGCGCTGCCTTGGATGGGGGAACCGCATGCGGACTGCGCCACCGGGGCGGGCCTTCGGTGGAGCTCCCTATGGGGCTACGAAACGCTGCCCTGGGTGGGGGAACCGCATGCGAACTGCGCCACTGGGGCCTTCGGTGGAGCTCCCTATGGTGCCACGAAACGCTGCCCTGGGTGGGGGAAGCGCATGCGAACTGCGCCACGGGGGCTTTCGGTGGAGCTCCCCATGGGGCCACGAAGCGCTGCCCTGGGTGGGGGAACCGCATGCGTGGGGCCTTCGGTGGAGCTCCCTATGGGGCTACGAAACGCTGCCCTGGGTGGGGGAACCGCATGCGAACACCCCCACTGGGGCCTTCGGTGGAGCTCCCTATGGGGCCACGAAACGCTGCCCTGGGTGGGGGAACCGCATGCGAACACCCCCACTGGGGCCTTCGGTGGAGCTCCCTATGGGGCCACGAAACGCTGCCCTGGGTGGGGGAACCGCATGCGAACACCCCCACTGGGGCCTTCGGTGGAGCTCCCTATGGGGCTACGAAACGCTGCCCTGGGTGGGGGAACCGCATGCGAACACCCCCACTGGGGCCTTCGGTGGAGCTCCCTATGGGGCCACGAAGAACGGGCCGCATGCGAACACCCCCACTGGGGCCTTCGGTGGAGCTCCCTATGGGGCCACGAAACGCTGCCCTGGGTGGGGGAACCGCATGCGAACACCCCCACTGGGGCCTTCGGTGGAGCTCCCTATGGGGCTACGAAACGCTGCCCTGGGTGGGGGAACCGCATGCGAACACCCCCACTGGGGCCTTCGGTGGAGCTCCCTATGGGGCCACGAAACGCTGCCCTGGGTGGGGGAACCGCATGCGAACACCCCCACTGGGGCCTTCGGTGGAGCTCCCTATGGGGCTACGAAACGCTGCCCTGGGTGGGGGAACCGCATGCGAACACCCCCACTGGGGCCTTCGGTGGAGCTCCCTATGGGGCCACGAAACGCTGCCCTGGGTGGGGGAACCGCATGCGAACACCCCCACTGGGGCCTTCGGTGGAGCTCCCTATGGGGCTACGAAACGCTGCCCTGGGTGGGGGAACCGCATGCGAACACCCCCACTGGGGCCTTCGGTGGAGCTCCCTATGGGGCCACGAAACGCTGCCCTGGGTGGGGGAACCGCATGCGAACACCCCCACTGGGGCCTTCGGTGGAGCTCCCTATGGGGCCACGAAGCGCTGCCCTGGGTGGGGGAACCGCATGCGAACACCCCCACTGGGGCCTTCGGTGGAGCTCCCTATGGGGCTACGAAACGCTGCCCTGGGTGGGGGAACCGCATGCGAACACCCCCACTGGGGCCTTCGGTGGAGCTCCCTATGGGGCTACGAAACGCTGCCCTGGGTGGGGGAACCGCATGCGAACACCCCCACTGGGGCCTTCGGTGGAGCTCCCTATGGGGCCACGAAACGCTGCCCTGGGTGGGGGAACCGCATGCGAACACCCCCACTGGGGCCTTCGGTGGAGCTCCCTATGGGGCCACGAAACGCTGCCCTGGGTGGGGGAACCGCATGCGAACACCCCCACTGGGGCCTTCGGTGGAGCTCCCTATGGGGCCACGAAACGCTGCCCTGGGTGGGGGAACCGCATGCGAACACCCCCACTGGGGCCTTCGGTGGAGCTCCCTATGGGGCTACGAAACGCTGCCCTGGGTGGGGGAACCGCATGCGAACACCCCCACTGGGGCCTTCGGTGGAGCTCCCTATGGGGCCACGAAACGCTGCCCTGGGTGGGGGAACCGCATGCGAACACCCCCACTGGGGCCTTCGGTGGAGCTCCCTATGGGGCTACGAAACGCTGCCCTGGGTGGGGGAACCGCATGCGAACACCCCCACTGGGGCCTTCGGTGGAGCTCCCTATGGGGCTACGAAACGCGTGAGAGGTGTGCCGAGAGCAGAGGCAAGGAGGGGGAGGAGGGAGAGGAGGAGGAGGAGAGGAACGCGGGGCACCGTCTCTTCAAAACGAGGACCCAATACCACAGGATGGTTGGGAAAAAAACATACATGTTCAACATGCACGACTGGCTCCAGTCATTCGTGGCTTTGTCGTCTCCATCGCACGACAATGTCCGTCAGACTCTGAGGACTCGGGACAACGATCTCTGCTACGAGACCTCTTTCTCTTAACGACAGGACGCATTGCCTACGGCTCTGGATAGAAACCCCGAGCATGATCCAAAACGGATCGGCGCTGGACGCCCCCACCGGGCGTACCATCCAAAACGTAAGTTGGATCGGTCGTTGCTGTCTCTGGCCGACCACCATGCCTACCACGGCGCTGTTCCCAATCCGCTCTGTCTCGCTTTGTTTTCACTCTGTCTCGGAGCTTTCTGGCGGACATGTGGTGTCCCATCTTGACAACACATCGTGGTATTTCTCTGGTTTGTCAGAAGCATCATTGTCGGCTGGGCGTAGCAGTGGTGATACAGATAACGGTCGTACTCGCAAGACTCGTTTTGCTGCTCTCGGTCGTACTGGTCGCCGACGTGCTGAGCGTAGTGGAGCCGCTAGTGCAGGCCGTACTCGTCATACTCGTGGTGCTGCTCTCGGTCGTGCTGCTCGCCGCCGTGCTGGGCGTAGCGGTGCCGCTGGTATCGGTCGTACTCGTCATACTCGTGATGCAGCTCTCGGTCGTACTACTTTCCGACGTGCTGGGCGTAGTGGTGCTGCTGGTAGCGGTCATAGTCGTTTTACTCGTGGTGCTGCTCTTGGTCGTACTGCTCGCCGACGTGCTGGGCGTAGTGGGGCCGCTGGTGCTGGTCGTACCCGTCATGATCGTGGTGCTGCTCTGGGTCGTATTACTACTCTCCGACGTGTTGGGCGTAGTGTTGCTGATGCCGGTCGAACTCGTCCTACCCGTGGTGCTGCTCTCGGTCGTACTGCTCACCGACGTGCTTGGCGTTGTGGTGCCGCTGGTGCTGGTCGCGTTTGTGATACTCGTGGTGCCGCTCTCGGTCGTATTGCTCGCCGACGTGCAGGGCGTGGTGGTGCTGCTTGTACCCGTCGTTTTCGAGACACTCGCGGTGCTGCTCTCAGCTGGACTCTTCGCAGACGTGTTGGGCGTAGTGGTGCCGCTGGTACTGGTCGCACTCGTCGTACTCGCGGTGCTGCTCGATCGTATTGCTCTCAGACGCGCTGGGCGTAGTGGTGCCGCTGGTGCCGGTCATACTCGTCATGCTCGTGGCGCTGCTCTCGGTCGTATTGCTCGCCGACGTGCTGGGCGTGGGGGAGCCGCTGGTACCGGTCGCGCCCGTCATGCTCGTGGTGCTGCT